AAAAAAAAAAAAAAAAAGAAGTCAGGCTTAAGCAACCACTGGTTCCCATTTAATTTTTTAAATGTTAGGGAAGGAATATAATTAAAAGTAATATCAAAAAGTTATAATCCTCAAAATGATGACCACAAGAAATTTAGCTCCCCAAACTTTAAAGAAAAAAGTTCTCTTCTATGATCTTCCTAAACTTTCATTTAAATAATAAGCACATTTTATTTGACTTTCTGAACCACTGTTGAGAAAGTGACATATGCCCATCGCCTACCATTCTGAATCATTGGGAAATCAAAAGTGGCTTACCTTTTCTAATGTACTGAAGGAAGGCCAGGACTGATATCCATATTCAGATACAAATCGAGCTTTTGGGAAAACTTTCCAATTCCAGCAATCACTGATATAATCATAAAAATGTACATCACCAAAATTATTGTCATATGGGTTGACAGAGAGCCAGCCTTCTTTAATAGATTCGGCCCCATTTGTAGGGCTGGATATGATAAAAGGACGAGTCTTGTCTTCCTGAGTCCAGAAATAAAATGATTTAGAAGATACTTTCAGCCAGTAAAGTACATATCATTTACTTTTTTATTAAGTTTTTGTTTCAATTCCAATATAGTTAACATACAGTGTTAAATTAGTTTCAGATGTATAATATAGTGATTTAGCACTTCCATACATCACCCAGTGCTCATCAAGACAAGTGTCCTCCTTAATCCCCATCACCTAATTCACCCACCTCCGTCTGGTAATCATCAGCTTGTTCTCTATAGTTAAGAGTCTGTTTCTTGGTTTCTCTTTCTCTTTTTTTCTTTTTTCCTTTGCTCATTTTTTTGTTTCTTAAATTCCACATATGAGTGAGATGATATGGTATTTGTCTTTCTCTGACTGACTTATTTCACTTAGCATTACACTCTCTAGCTCCATTCATATTGGCACAAATGGCAAGATTCCATTCTTTTTTATGGCTGACTAATATTCCATTATATATACCATATATACAACACACACACACACACAGACACACACACCACATCATCTTTACCCACCACAACACCATTTACCCATCTATCACTGGACCTTTGGGCTGCTTCCATAATTTGGCTATTGTAAATAATGCTGCTATAAACATAGGGGTGCATGTTATCCCTTGGAATCAGTGTTTTTGTATTTTGGGGGTGTATGATTACTGGATAGTAGGGTAGTTCTGTTTTTAACCTTCTGAGGAACTTCCATACTGTTTCCCACAGCAGCTGTACCAGTTTGCATTCCCACCAACAGTGCAAAAGGGTTCCCATTTCTCTACATCCTCACCAACACTTGTTGTTTCTTGTGTTTTTTATTTTAGCCATTCTGACAGGTGTGAGATGATATATCACTGTAGTTTTGACTTGCATTTCCCTGATGATGAGCATCTTTTCATATGTCTGTTGGCCATCTGTATGTCTTCTTTGGAGAAATGTCTGTTTATGTCAGATCATTTACTTTAAAAAAAAAACACTGTCAAGTTCCAGAAATGCCAGGGGCTGACAGAAAAATAATAGAACCATTAACCTCCTGCCTTCAACAACCACCAGTACCTGCTATTCACCAATCCTTTATATCCTTTTGTAATTAACACTTAGCTTATTACTCAGTACCTGCTCCTAATTTTTTTAATCATGTCGTGCCTCTACATTACCTTCTAACAACAAGGGCAGTGTACAGTCTACTGCAGAATTTCTCATCCTTGGCATTATTGACATTTTGAGCTTGATAAATTTTGTGTGTTGGTGACCAGGGAAAGGGAGCAAGGGGAAAGGGAATGTTTAGCAGCATCCCTGACCTCTACCCACTAGATGCCAGCAGTACCCCTCACACACCAAAAAATGTCTACAGACATTGCCAAACGTGCCCCTGTCACCTGGGGGACAAAAATCACCTCCACTTAAGAAACATAGGTCCAGTGCTTAAGAATAAGAAGCTAAGGTGCAGATACAAAAATAATACCCAGAAATTGGTAGTATTTCTATACACTAAGAACAAAATAGCAGAAAGAAATTTTTTTTGAAGATTTTACTTATTTATTTGACAGAGAGACACAGCGAAAGAGGGAACACAAACAGGGGGAGTGGGAGAGGGAGAAGCAGGCTTCTCACTGAGCAGGGAGCCCAAGGCGGGGCTCGATCGCAGGACCCCAGGATCATGACCTGAGCCAAAGGCAAACGCTTAACCAACTGAGCCACCCAGGATTCCCTCAGAAAGAGAAATTTTAAAACAACACCATTTACAAATGCACCAGAAAGAATAAAATACCTAGGTATAAACTAAACCAAAGAGGTGAAAGACCTCTACTCTGAAAACTATAAAACACTGATGAAAGAAACTGAAGATGACCCAAACAAATTGAAAAATAGTCCATGCTTGTGGATTAGAAGAATCAATATTGTTTAAATGTCCATACTACTCAAAGAAATCCCACAGAATCAATGCAATCCCTATCAAAATACCAACAGCATTTTTTACAAAACTAGAACAAATAATACTAGAATTTGTATGGAACCACAGAAGACCCCAAATAGCCAAGGCAATCTTGAAAAAGAAAAACAAAGCGTGGAGATGTGAAAATTCCAGATTTCAAAATATACTACAAAGCGATAGTAATCAAAATAGTATGGTACTAGCATAAAAATAGATATATAGAGCAGTGGACTAGAATAGAGAGCCCAGAAATAAACCACTGAGTGTATGGTCAGTTAATCTATGACAAAGGAGCCAAGAATATACAATAGGAAAAGACAGTCTCCTCAATAAATGGTGCTGGGAGAACTGACAGCTACATGCAAAAGAATGAAACTGTATCTCTCTTTAATATCATAAATAAAAATAAACTCAAAATGGATTAAAGACCTAAATGTGAGATCTGAAATCATAAAAATCCTAAAAACCATAAAAAAACACAGGCAGTAATTTCTCTGACTTCGGCCATAAGATCATTTTTCTCGATATGTCTCTTCATGCAAGAAAAACAAAAGCAAAAAGAAACTATTGGGATAACATCAAAATAAAAGGCTTTTGCACAGCAAAGGAAACCACCAACACACACACACACACACACACACATATCCAAAACATATAAAGAACATGTACAAGTCAACACCAAACAAACCCCAAATAATTCAATTAAAAAATGGGCAGAGCACTTGAATAGACATTTTTCAAAAAAAGACATAAAGATAGCCAATGGACACATGAAAATATCCTCAGCATCACTCATCATCAGGAAAATGCAACTCAAAACTAAAATAAAATATCATTTTTACCTATTAGAATGGCTAAAACCAAAAAGACAAGAAACAACAAGTGTTGGTGAGGATATGGAAAAAAGGGAACCCTTGTGCACTGTTGGTAGGAATGTAAGTTGGTGCAGCTACAGTGGAAAACAGTATGGAAGTGCTTTGAAAAATTAAAAATAGAAATATCATATAATCCAATCATTCTACTACTGGGTATTTACCCAAAGAAAATGAACACACTAATTCAAAAAGATATGTGCACTTCTGTGTTTATTGCAATGTTATTTACAACAACCAATATATTGAAGCAATCTAAGTGTCCATCAATAGACAAATGGATAAGGAAGATGTGGTATATATATATATATAATGGAATCTGGCACAGCCATAAAAAGATGAGATTGTGTCATTTGAGATGTACCTAGAGGGTATTATGGATGGATGCACCTAGAGGATATTATGGTAAGTGAAATAAGTCAGACTGAGAAACACAAATACTGTATGATTTTACTCATAAGTGGAATCTAAAACAAAAACAAATGAATAAACAAACAAAAAGCAGAATCAGACCTATAAATACAGAATAAACTGATGGTTGTCAGAAGGGGATGGGTCAGCAGTTGGGCAAAATGGGTAAAGGGGAGTGGGAGATACAGAGTTCCAGTTATGGAATGAATAGTTCATGGGAATAAAAGGCACAGCAGGAGAAAAAAAGAAAATAATAGAGGCTATTGAGTCAGAATGACTTCAGTTTAAATCTCAAATCAGAACCTTATTATTTTTGGACAGGTCTAAGCCTCAATAGTCTCATCTGTAAAATGGAGAAATTGGGAGCCCTTCAAAGGACTACAGTAAATGGTAAAGAACTCATGTGTCGACGACATGGCTAAATGTCCACCAAAATTCATGTTCCCATTTCCATAATATAGAGCTGTTTCTAGGAAGTGACTTTCTAACCTCTTTGCATCACTGTGGGGCCATGTGCCTCATTCTCATCCTCCTGGAATCATGAGCTCTTAACCACTGAGCTGTGAAATGAAAATCCTCAAATATTAAAATTCATTTCTTAAATCCATCAGATATGAAAAATGTAATACCAACACTATGAGTAAAAAGATTATAAAATAAATGTTTTATAAATATTAATTAAAGCTTACACCATACCAGTTTGTGTATAGAAAAATTCTTCATGACACATGACTAAGCATATCAGATAGGCTAAAAATCTAAACCTAAGTTTTTCGTGAATTCTCACCGAAGTTTCTTCACATAAATGAATAGTGCCATGAACTGAACACATTTGGGTGCCAAAATCACATACTATTCTTTTAAATAGATCCCTTTTCAAAATGCCTCAGGATATACCCAAATATTTAAAATATCTAATTACAGGGGCGCCTGGATGGCTCAGTCGTTAAGTGTCTGCCTTCGGCTCAGGTCATGATCCCAGTGGGATTGAGCCCCGTCGGGCTCCCTGCTCAGTGGGAAGCCTGCTTCTCCCTCTTCCACTCCCCCTGCTTGTGTTCCCTCTCTCGCTGTGTCTCTCTCTGTCAAATAAATAAATAAAATAAAAAAGAAAATAAATAAAATAAAATATCTAATTACAGATAAAAAATTAAAAGGACAATCAGATTATTAAATCACATATTAAACATTAAAGTTTTTAAAAGTTATATCCTTTGCAGGGATTACTGCAAAAACAAAATAAATGCTGCTTATTCCCCCTGGGGGAAAAAAAAAGCTAACTTATATTATTATATAATGTATATATAGTAAATACAAGTATAATATGCCTATTAAAAAGCAGTGATGAAAGAAAACCACCGTAAAGGAAGGGCTCTATGATGGAGTTGGGAACAAGCTCTTTCCTTTCCCTTTCTCCTTATTTCACATATCAACATATTCATATATATCAAGTTCTGCTTTAGCATTTATAATTACAGAATTTTAAATGACACATGAGACCAAATGGACTTAACAGATATACACAGTACATACCATCCAAAAGCAACAGAATACACATTCTTCTCAGGTGCACATGGAATGTTCTCCAAGACAGATCATCTGTTAGGCCATAAACCAAGTCTTAACAAATTTAAGAAGACTGAAATCATTCAAGCATATTTTTGGACCCCACTGATATGGAACTAGAAATCAATTTTAAGAAGAAGTCTGGAAAAAATTCACAAATACATGAAGATTAAGGAATATGCTACCGAATAACCAATGGATCAACAAAGAAATCAAAAGAGGAATTGAAAAATAGCCTTGATACAAATGAAAATAGAAATACAACACACCAAAACTTATGAGATGAAGCAAAAGCAGTTTAAGAGGAAAGATCATAGACATAAATGACTATTTCAAGAAATAAGAAAAATGTCAAATAAAGAACCTAACTTCACATCTTAATAAACTAGAAAAAGAAGAACGAACATAGCCCCAAGTTAGTAGAAGGAAGGAAATAACAAAGATCAGAGCAGAAATAAATGGAATGGAAACTAAAAAGACAATAGAAAAGATCAATGAAACCAAGAGCTGTTTTTTTAAAAAAAATAAAATAAACAAAACTGACAAACCTTTAGCTAGACTTGCCTAGGGGAAAAAAAAAAAGAGAGGACTCAAACAAAATCAGAAATGAAAAAGATGTTACAACTGATATCTCAGAAATACAAAGAATTTTAAGAGACTACTATGAACAACTATACATCAACAAATTGGACAACCTAGAAGAAATGGATAAATTCTTAAAGACATACAATCTTCCAAGATTGAATCATGAATAAATAGAAAGCATGAACAGACCAATTAACTAGTAAGGAGATCGAATCAATAATCAAAAATCTCCCAACAAACAAAAATTCAGGACCAGACATCTTCACTGGTGAATTCTGCCAAACATTCAAAGAATTAATACCAATCCTTCTCAAACTCTTGCAAAAAATAGAAGAGGAGGGAAAACTTCCAAGTTCATTTTACAAGACAAGCATTACCCTGATACCAAAACCAAATAGAGTCACCCCAAGAAAAGTACAGGCCAATATCCTTGATGAACATAGACGCAAAAATTCTCAACAAAATATTAACAAACCAAACTCATATAAGTAAAAAAAAAAAATCATATACCATAATCAAGTGGAACTTATTCCAGCGATGTAAGGATGGTTCAACACCTACAAGTCAATCAACATGATACGCCACATTAATAAAACTGAAGTATAAAAATCATATGCTCATGTCAACAAATGCAGAAAAAGCTTCTGACAAAATTCAGCATCCATTTATTATAAAAACTCTCAACAAAGTGGTTACAGAGGGAACATAGCTCAACATAATAAAGGCCATATATGACAAGGCCACAGCTAACATCACACTCGATGGTGAAAAGCTCAAAATTCTCCTCTAAGGTCAGGAACAAGACCTGGATGCCTACTTTCACCACTTTTATCCAACATAGCATTGGAAGTCCTAGCTAGAGCAATTAAACAACAGAAAGAAATAAAAGGCATACAAACTGGAAAGGAAGAAATAAAGTTGTCACTATTTGCAGATGACATGTTATTATATGGAGAAAACTCTAAAGACTTGACAAAAACCCGTCAGTATAAATAAATTCAGTAAAATTGAAGGATACGAAATCAATATACAGAAATCTGTTGCATTTCTATGTACTAATAATTAACTACTAGCAAGAGAAATTAAGAAAGCAATCTTATGTACAACTGCATCAAAAAGAATAAAATATCTAGGAATAAGTTTAACCAAGGAAGTGAAAGACTGACATTATTATTGAAAATTCTACTGAAAACTATAAGACATTGTTAAAAGACACCGAAGACATAAATAAATGAAAAGATATTCTGTATCATTGATTGGAAGAATTAATATTGCTAAAATGTCCATACTATCCAAAGCAATCTACAGATTCAATGCAATCCCTACCAAAACCACAATGCATTTTTCATGAAATAGAATGAATAATCCAAAAATTTTTATGGAACCACAAAAGACCCTGAATAGTCAAAGCAATCTTGAGAAAGAAGAACAAAGCTGGAGGCATCATGCTTTCTGACTTCAAAATATTTAACAAAAGAAAAGTAATTAAAACATTATGGTATTGGCATAAAAACAGACACATGGATCAATAGAACAGAATAGAGAACCAAGAAATAAATTCATATATGTATGGCCAATTAATTTATGACAAAGGAGACAAGAATATAAAATGGGGAAAAGACAGTCTCTTCAGTAAATGGTGTTGGAAAAAACTGAAAAACTATCTTCAACCATGCACAAAAGTTAATGCAAAATGGATTAAAGACTTGAATGTAAGATCTGAAATCATAAAACTCCTAAAAGAAAACATAGGTGGTAAGCTCCTTGGCATTGGTCTTGGCTTGATTTTTTTGGATTTGACACCAAAAACAAAGGCAACAAAAATAAACAAGTGGGACTACATTAAACTAAAAAGGTTCTGCACGGCAAAGGAAACCATCAACAAAATAAAAAGGCAACACACTGAATGGGAGGAAATATTTGCAAATCATATGCCTGCTAAGGGGTTAATATCCAAAATATATAAAGAACATGCCCAACTCAACAGCAAAAAACAAACAATTCAATTAAGAAACGAGCCAGGGATCTAAACAGACATTTTTCCAAAGAGGACATACAGATAGCCAATAAGTACACGAAAGGGTGCTCAACTTATTATCAGGGAAATGCAAATCAAAACCACAATGAGGTATCACCTGACACCTGTTAGGATGGCTATTATCAAAAAGGTAAGAGATAAAAAATGTTGGCAAGGATGTGGAGAAAAGGGAACCCTTGTGCATTGTTGATGGGAATGTAAGTTGGTGTAGTCACTAAGGAAAACAATATGGAGGTTACCTAAAAAATTAAATGTAGAACTACCATATGATCCAGCAATTCCACTTATGGATAATTATCTGAAAAAAATAAAAACACTAACTCAAAGAGATATATGTACCCCCATGTTCACTGCAGCATTGTTTATAATAACCAAGATACTGTAACAATCAAAATGTTCATTGATGATGAATTGATAAAGGAAATGTAGCATACACACATACACACACACACACACATACACACACACTGGAATATGACTCAGCCATAAAAAAGAATGAAATCTTGGAGCACCTGGGTGGCTCAGTCAGTTGAGCATCCATCCAACTCTTGATTTTGGCTCAGGTCATGATCTCAGGGTCATGGGATCAAGACCTGCATTGGGCTCTGTGCTGGGCATGGAGCCTGCTTGGAATTCTCTCTTTCCCTCTGCCCCTCCCCACTTGTGATCACTCTCTCACTCTCTAAAAAAAAAAAAAGGAATGAAATCTTGCCATTTGTGACAACACAGATGGACTTTGAGGGCATTATGCTAAGTGAAATAAGTCATAGAAAAGCAAATACTGAATGATCTCACTTATATGTGGAATCTAAAAACAACAAGAATAAGTTCATGGAAACAGAGAACAGACTGGTGGTTGCCAGAGGTATGAGGTGGGAGGTGGGGTGGAATCGGTGAAAGTAGTCAAGAAAAAAAAAGGAAAGAAAGAAAAAGTAAAAGAGTCTCTACGTCTCTAAGAAAGGAAGGGAAGGGAAGGGAAGGGAAGGGAAGGAAGGAAGGAAAGAAAGAAAGAAAGAGAGAGAGAGAAGGAGGGAGGAAGGAGGGAGGGAGGAGGGAGGGAGGAAAGTAGGAAGAAAGAAAAATAGAAAAGAAAAGAAATATCCATAGAACACTTGAGCCTGCTCTGTGCCTTCTTCTCTCTATGGAAATCTTCTGGCTGGGGTATTTGCTTCCAGAGGTAATTCCAGACATCCACAATGGACACACACATACACACACACACACACACAAGAATGAGAGCAACTTCCACATTCAAACACTATTTGCACTGAAAATCCTGGAGTCTCTCAGCCTGCACAACTTCTCTACTTACAGCCTCCTCTACAAAGCATATCTACTTACACAGAAATCTTTTAAGTTCTAGGTGAAATGCTATGTCCTAGGAAACATAAATATCCATAGTTCCAGAAGTTGTAAAACCAAATTGGATAATAACTACAGGAGAAATGTATATGAGGGAGGAGATAATTCTTGCCCCCACAAAGGCACTGGGCCCAGATTGTTTTATGGGTAAATTTGTCTCAGTAAAACTGATAATCTCTATTTTATTTAATTGTCTCTAGACATTAAAAACAACAACAAAAGGCTCCTAACTCATTCTGTGCAGTGAGCACAAACATATACACATATACCAAGTTCCACAAGCTGGGTTCTCTAGGCTAAATCTGTCTCACAAATAGTTTTGTTTACATAGCATTTTTTAAAATACTGAATATAAATGAGACCCAATATCCATATCCTATTACCATCGTCCCCTCTTCTTTATGAGCCTCATCAACTCTACTTACTTTTTTAAGACAAATTTGGCTCCTCTAGGCATATGCGTTTACAGCTCTTACCATAGACTGAGTTTGCTTGTGAACATAAATCTTTAAATTCTAACCAAAATATTAGCAAATCAAATCTAGCACAGAATAAAAGAACAAAGCGTTATAGCTAAATAGAGTTTATACTAGAACTAGTTTGTCATTAGAAAATTAATTCACAGGATTCACTATATTAATATATTGAGGAACAAAAAGAAAGAAAGGAAAAAAAGAAGTGGCATATCAATAAATCATCTAAAGTAGAAATTCTCAACCTTTGGGGTTCCATGGATGGGCTCCAGAAAGAGTCCATGATAATCTGCAGTTGTAAACACAATATTGGTGTATGTGTGGTGAGTTCCACAGATAAGTTAATTCTCAAATAAGTCCAAAACCCATAAATCCATTCACATGCTGCAGCATTACAATGGACTGTTCTGTATTAAAATATTGAAGGTTGCTCTAAAAAAAGGACACAAAGATATACTATACTAATATTCAAACTGATCCATTTTTAAAACAGGTTCTTAAATTCTGTTGCATGAAAAATCATTACTTACTGCCAAGACAATCTTTCGAATGTTTTTCACATACAGTATCACATAGTCTTTGATGTAGGTATGCAGTTCACTGGCGGGTATATTATACCAATTCATCATCAGCGCTGCTTCATTTTCATTATTTCCACTCCATGCGATGATGGAGGGATGATATTTCAGTCTCCTGATCTAAAATTTCAGAAAACATAAAACAATTTTCAAATGATCAACAAGAAAAAAAAAGCCTCAGAGCTATAATTACTCATAAAATGATAGCCATTGCATTTCTGCACATAAATTCTTATGTACCAGAAAATTCATTAGAAAATGGCTTGTAACATTACCTGTGGGAATACATTTTAAGAAATCTCTGGTTCTTTTTACCTAGATTTTATAAACACCAGTAAGATGGGGTTCCTCTTCTCTACTGTATAAAACCTGAAGAAAATATAATCCCTTTTATTAAAAAAGAAAAATAAATCAACTTCATCATCATCTGACTTGCCACAAAAAGGCTCTAAGAAACACAAAAGGCAGGAGACATTACATTACAGAGGAGTCTCTCAAGAACAAGTTGGAGTTTTGTGTGAAGAAACAAATGAGGAAGAACAACCACTTCTGCTGAAAGAGGGATTGAGGTTGTCACGGTCTCCACTGAGATCAGGAAACCACAAGGATAACCAGAGAGGGTTTTACAAAGCAAGTGAGTTCCCAGAGATACTCTGTAAATTAAAGACAAATATATGGAATATCCTAAAGGAAAAAGGATTAGGGCATCAAGAGATGTCTCCAGAAAGAACTATCAGTGTCATGTCCTGAGAAATCAACTAAGCTTAAGTAAATTACTGAATATATCTGAACACGGAAGAAGAAATTAGAGAATCTGTCTGAAAATCTTGCCAGCCTTAAGAATTGAGCCTGCATGAACTGGGCTTTCTGTGGGCTGGCCCTACATAAAGGTGAAAGGATCCAGTTCTTCAGACACCCTGGGAGATGTACTCCAGCAGAAGAGGGCAGTTAAATCTCTTTGAGAACACAATGAGTCAATGGTCAAGAGAAATCCTCTGGACCACAGTTTAGCAAAATAACCTTATTGGTTATAGCTTCTCTTCCATGTAATGCATGGTTACAGTGATGGATCCCAGCTGATGATCTCACTGTGGCCTCCATTCAAGATGCTAAGTATCTCCTACATGAAACAGAGATGCATTAAGGATGCATTAAAGGGATTTATCTCATTCTTAAAAATTACAGGTGATGGGTATTAAGGAGGACACATATTGCATGGAGCACTGGGTGTTACACGAAAACAATGACTCATGGAACACTACATCAAAAACTGATGATGTACTGCATGGTGACTAACATAACATAATAAAATTAAATTAAATTGAAAAAAAATTACAGCCTTGTGTTTTTCTAAACCAGCCTTAGGAACGCTATTTCCTTTATTTTCCTCTGTGCGTGCCCAGGTAAGTGATGACTGCTACCAACTGGGACTGGCACGTTTATGGTGCTACTGAAAACACAAATACTGAAGAGGCAAAAAGATCCAGTGACTCTGTGCTACACATACCCTTCAAACTGACCCAGAATTTTTGAGAAGCTTCACTTTAAAATCTTAACAAAGTCTGCATAAAAAGCTCTCCTTCTCTTTAATAATACATAAAAGAATTGAAGGTACATAGACACCATGTTTTATTTATTTGTATGAGAAAAAATCTTAAAAAACTGAAATGTCTGCAACCTACACAACTATAATTAATATTTTTTAAGCTCATCCATCCATCTATCCATCTATCCTCCTGACGAATAACCCAGCCGAGCAGTGGGGACACAGAGAGGAACAAGCCCCTAGGCTGCAGGGAGATTACAAACTTGCAGGGGAAACAAAACATTGAACAAGTAATTCAAAGTGTGGTACAGGTCATAAAGGGCAAATGATGTGATCTGGACTTGCAAATATAGAAAAGGTTTTTTTCCCAGAAAAATTCATGCTCAAGGTAAGAGGTGCCAGAAGAAAATGAGAGAGGTGGTCCATAGGGAGGGTGAGGGGGAAAATTTTCCAGAGCATAGATGGCACAGAAGAGGGTGCTTGATGGGGCCAGGGAGGCCAACAGAGACAGGATAGTGCACAGCATCTTTATCTGGAGGACTCTGAGCAAGAGATGAGTCATTTGTACTTTTTAAACCTTTTTTTAAAAAATAAAACAGATACAAAAAACAAATTGTGAAATAGTAAATTACTGTAACACAATCACCCTTGTAACCACCACCCAGATCAAGAAAGGGAGCCCCAGAAGTCCTCAAGCAGTCCTTCCTAATTGTAGTCCCTTCCTGCTTCCAACAGGAACCACTATCTTGAGTATTACAGTAATCATTTCCTTGCATTGCTTTTGGTTTTCCATGCAAACGTCCATCCACAGACATTATAACTATGAAATCACAGATTTTAACATGCTTTCTGGATTTCACTCCACTGACACTCTTATCCTTATTGAATCTCAAATTGTCCCACTTTTGGTTGGTGAGAGTTTCATCAAAGTTCTTTTAACATATCTTTGATAGTTTCCTTGTCATCTGTATGTCAAAATATTCCAGGGCCATCTATTATACTTCCTGTCCCAGACATGGAATCAGCCATTTCTCTAAGAAGCCCTTCTGTTAGTGGGAAAAATTATTTCAACAGAAGGATACACAATATTATTAGGTTGTTCTAGTCCTTTTCGGTGAATAGAGCTAGGTTATAATCACTTCCTTGCACTTATAGATCTATAAATATAAGTGTGTACCTATGGAATGCAAAAGAAATCAAGTAGTCAAGAATCACTTTAAATTTCTGACCTGAGAAATGCAAAGACTGGCTTTGCCATTTGTTGAGGTGGGGGAAACTACAGGAAAAGCAGGTTGGGAGAAGATAATGCAAGTTTGGTTCAGGCATGTTACAGTTGAGATGATTATGAAACCTCCAAGCAGAGGTGCCAAGTAGGCAGCTGGATACAAGAACCAGGAATTCAGCAGAGATGTCAGAACTGGGGACAAATGTGAAAGTCGTCAGCATAGAGGTGGTGTTAAAGCCTTGAGACTGGGTGGAATCACCTAGGAAGTCAATTATCAGACTGTGATTTTCATGGGATTTAGTAAAGAGAACAACAAAATACAAAACAAAATGAGGAGAGGTTTAACAAAAGGCAAATGAAACATTAGCATTTTCCCTCTTCTTGGAATGGTAATGACATACCTGGTGAGCAACTTCTGCTCTCACTGAATTCATGAAGTCCCGATCGGTTGGATAAAGGGCACAGGCAAACATAAAATCCTGCCATACCTGTCAAACCAGTAAAAAGCAATAAACTACTTCCATAGACTTTATTACACAGAAAGAAATTCTTCATTCTGAACTTTGGGAATTATCTTTCAGGCAAATGGAAAACAAGTTAGCCTGATGAGTGTGACCATTTGAGCACTACTATGATTGAGGCAGTGGGAGAGGCTCTTATACAGACCGCACGACTTTCCAGAACTGCACAAAACTGTGGGGGAAACCTGAGAGGAGAAAATGCTAAGTAGGGAGAAAAGAAAGAGAAGGAAAGGGAATTCAAATAAGGAAACAGTGAGTGTGTTGAAGGGAATGTGAAATTCGAAAAGAACCTTACCCCAGCCCCTCCTCACTTGCAATACTTTAATAGTCACTGGGAATTTGGTATTGAGAGATGGACCAGATTGTTTATAAAAGAATTAACTTTTCATGGCCAAAAGGATTACTACATGGACATTTTCATAATGAAACCACATAAGTTGATCTTTCTCTTCCTTCCTTCCTTCCTTCCTTCCTTCCTTCCTTCCTTCCTTCCTTTCTTGAAGGAGACAGAGAGAGTGTGTGTGTGAGTTGGGGCTCAGAGGAAGAGAAAGAAACATCCCAAGCAGGCTCTGCACGATGCAGGGCTCAATCTCACGACCCTGAGATCATGACCTGAGCCAAAACCAAGAGTCAGATGCTTAACCGACTGAGCCACCCGGGCGTCCCACATAAGTCCATAAGTCCATTTCTAGAGAGGCTGTTTTGATGCAGTAGTTAAGAGCACAGGCCCCAAATCAGTCGACCTGAGTCAGAAACTTGGTTCCACCACATACCCACTGTGTGGTTTTGGGCAGGTTATTTCACCTCTCCTCCATGTGTCAGTTTCCTTGCTGGTAAAATGGGGATGGAGAACAGCAGTAACTACTTCATAGGATGGGCATGAAGATGAAATAAAATAACAGATGCAGAGCACTGAGAACAATGCCTGGTCCTCAATAAATATTATAGAATATTGTCACATTATCATGCCCATCAGCATTATCAATATTATAATTACTATTCTTCTATGGAATGCTTTGTATTTTAGAACTGTAATGCCAGAACTAAAAGATTATATTTCCTGTGCTTAACCCTCACCAATGCGAAACATGTTTGGAGTACTTAATAACAATATTAAGCATAGCTTTTCTTCATTGAATTTTATGATTTTTCTTCTCTCTAGGTCTTGTTAGATCACCTTAAAGTTAAAATTTTTAAATATGTTTATGCACACCCTCATGTCAAAAAGAAAATTACAAATATAGAATGCTTACCACTTAAAAATAATTAAATAATTATGATATTCACCATCAGCTATGGTTCTGGGTTTGGAAGATGCCGTTTATTCCTCTGCAAAAAATGGATTATCAGTCCTGGCTCTGAAAAAAGAAGGAATGAGCCATAGCACCCACTCAGAACACAGGAGCTCAAAGTGCGGATATAGTAACATATCAATCAATAAAATGCTGTTGACTACCCACCATTATTCCTAGTTCATCACAGAGTCTATAGAATTCATCCTGCTCATAAATTCCTCCTCCCCAAACCCGGAGAGTATTCATGTTAGCATCCACAGCAGACTGCAAAAGGAGCCGTAACCTATAGAAGAAATTTTTAAAACAAATGTTAATTTGAAAATCTGGGGATGTTTAAGAAAGATTTAAAAAAACACATGGTGTGGGCGCCTGGGTAGCACAGTTGGTTAAACGTCTGCCTTCAGCTCAGGTCATGATCCCAGGGTCCTGGGATCAAGCCCTGTGTCGAGCCCCACATCGGGCTCCCTGCTCAGCAGGGGGTCTGCTTCTCCCTCACCCTCTGCCTGCCGCTCCCCTGCTTGTGTTCTCTCTCTGTCACCTAAATAAATAAAATCTTAAAAAAAAAACACACACACATGGTGGTTGATAAATACGTTTCAAATCTCTTAGAAAAACACATTCTAAAATTATGATGGTTTGGATATAATGCTAGGTGAAGAAAGTGAGACAAAATTATATACACAATAACTGTAACCACATAAACAAAACTGGAAAATTGTGGGTTATATATCTTTTCTCTGCCTTCTAAATTCACACTGTTATTATACTGTTTTTGAAACTAAATTTTTTCTTATTCTTATAGAAAAAGAAAACATTTGTAAACCTTAGGAAGTATGAGCTAATTTTATACAACCATTTCAAATTATAAGACAAAAATCAAAGTTTGCATATTAGTACCTGGCTTAGTCGCTTACTCTTATCTCCTTTTTTCTTTTCTTTTTTTTAATTTTATTTATTTGACAGAGAGAGACAGCAACAGAGGGAACACAAGCAGGGGGAGTGGAAGAGGGAGAAGCAGGCCCCCCGCTGAGCAGGGAACCCGATGTGGGTCTCGATCCCAGGACCCTGGGATCATGACCTGAGCCGAAGGCAGACGCTCAACGACTGAGCCACCCAGGCGCCCCTCTCCTTTTTTCAATTCCTCCAGTCCAGTACAGATTTTCCTCAATTTACAATGGGATTATATCCCAATTAGCCCACCATTGTAAGTTGAAAGTATTTTAAGTCGAAAATGCATTTAATACACCTAACCTACCAAACATCCTAGCTTAGCCTCACCTGCCTTAGATGTGCTCAGAACACTTACATTAGCTTACGGTTAGGCAAAACCATCTAACACACAGTCTAGTTTATAATAAAGTATTGATATCTCATGTAATTGAATACTGTGCTGAAAGTGAAAAACAGAATGGGTATATGGGCACAGAATGGTTGTGAATGTATCGATTGTTGACCCTCAGTATGGCATGACTGACTGGGAGGCCTCGGCTTCTGCCACTGCCCAATATCACCAGAGATTACTGTACCACATAGCGCTAGCCCAGGAAAAGATGAAAAGTCAAAATTCAAAGCAAAACTTCTACTGAATGTGTATCTTTTTTACACCATGGTAAAGTCAAAAAATCACATCAAACCATCATAAGTAGGGTACTGGCTATGTTTCTTTCTCTAGTAAATTAAATTTCCTTTCTGATTTTTCCAATTCCTATTCACATCACCCACAGGATGATGTACAGCCACTCCGAGAACATCTACCCTGCATTTCCAGAACAGAGCCCAGAGAGGAACCAAGAAGCCCCCAACAACTGGCTGGCCAAGGACCCAGCGCATTGTGCCTCAGCGGGTGTACTAATTGGCCCAGCTGTACTGAAAAACCACTGCCCAAACCAGCCAGATGAGAGGAGCCAGGAGATGAAAAGGAAAAGAGGCAGCAAATTATCTGTGTCTATGTCTGGAGAATAATTTCATTTTCATATGAAATTCAGGACAATATATACAGTTTAAAGTAAAAGCAAATTACTACAACTTTCAGCAAATTCTAAACACCAAATAATATACTACAATGCATATTTATACATATGTAAATAAGTTAAATGTGTTTATTTTCTCTTCACAAAGTTTATTTTTACTATCACAAAGACAGTTTACAATCGCAATCAGGAAATATTATTTTCTTATGAAGTGCTATTCTCAAAGCTTCAGATAAACACTTTAAATTTTCTTCTAGATTTAAAATTGTAAAGCTTTTTTAGTTCCTTTTACTAAGGTAAAAGTAAAAGAATATACAAATAGCTTAGAATGAAGAAGGAAATATGGGTTTCCATTTTTTAAAAAGAATATACAAAAATATTTAAGGTATTCTTTGAAAAATAAAAAAAACCAAATTTAACCATTTTTTCAGGGATTATCCAAAATATGCATTAGTCATTTTCTTGTTCCTCCAGAGGAAATATATAATAGTTTTCTAGAAATTGGATGGTTTCAGCAGTCTCAAGTCATTTAGCTGTTAAGACTATCTATAGCTAATGAAAATGGAATATATGATTTAAAAATCCTTTCCATTCTAAAGTTTCCATCATCCTAGAATTCTGTCTTACCTCTCAGTTCCTTCCACTGGAACCAAAGAAAACAAAAATGAGTAATTCTTTAGCTTTGTGGGACTGTTAATAAAAAGAAAAACAAGAAATAAAAAATGATAACTTACAAGTCAGAGGTTATGCGATCCTGGAATGAATCTGCTGGGATCCAGTTCGAGCCTTTCAGAAATATGGGCAATCCATTAATTTTGAAGTAGAAACTCAGACCTCGAGATCCTTCAATGGGCTCTTCTATAAGTTCCACTGTCCTAAAATAAACCTATTATGAACAAAATTAAATACCGAATATCAAATGTAAAACATAAGCAAAGAGTTTTTTTAAAAAGGAAAGCAAACTTTTGAACAATTTACACGAACATAATTTAATGTTAATTTCCTATTTGCTATGAGGCATTTAATGTGGAAGTACACATTTCAGAAAAAAATATAATAAATTATTGCCAGATTCTATCTTTTAATAGATATAAAATATAGAAACTATTAAAGAAGAAATATATTCTAGTCTTCCTCATGAAACAGGCATTTGTAATTCCATCAAAAGAAATATATTTGAAGGGTGCCTGAGTGGCTCAGTTGGTTAAGCATCTGACTCTTGGTTTCAGTTCAGGTCATGATCTCAGGGTTGTGAGATCGAGCCCCATGTCAGGCTCAGCAGGGAGTCTGCTTAGGATTCTTTCCCTCTCCCTCTGCCCCTCCCCCCACCCACTAAAATAAATAAATCTTTTTTAAAAAAAAGAAATATATTTGAAGATAACATTTCAAAATTAGAACAAAAACTTATACTATTTCACAAAAACGGGGGAGAAATCCCACCAGTTAAACTGATGTATCCTGCATATAAAAACACACTCTCACTTCAGTGTTGTTAACATGTGCCAAAATGTGCATCTTAGAATCAAAGACATATAGCACAAGCAATTTAATCCCAACTAATCATCACATTAAACTTGATGCTGGAGCTCTAGAGATGTAAGTGGTGTTTCAACTGGAAGACGGAATAGGAGTGCATACTCCAAAGTTATAATTGGTGTGTGAGAAGAAGCTGAGACCTTTGTCTCTGTGACACTATAGCCAGGTTTTCCCACGGTTAAGCAGGAGCAGCAAGACTCTCGATAAAGAAGATTGATGTTCCTATTCAAATCTTCATTCCTTCCAGCCATGAACTGGATCAAAGAGTGAGGAACATGGTTCTACGCCAGCAAGGCCTAGCCTTGAACCAAGATTAAGCTTTTCTTCTCTAATTAAAATAAATAAATGAGGGGTCCCTGGGTGACTCAGTCATTAAGTGTCTGCCTTCAGCTCAGGTCATGATCCCAGGGTCCTGGGATAGAGCCCCACATCGGGCTCCCTGCTCCTCAGGAAGCCTGCTTCTCCCTCTCCCACTCCCCCTGCTTGTGTTCCCTCTCTCACTGCATCTCTCTCTGTCAAATAAATAAATTAAATCTTTAAAAAATAAAATAAAATACATGAATTAATTAATCAATTTATTTCATGAAATAAAAGTGCCCACCATTCTTCTACTTCCTTACCCTTGCCCTTATGACTGACAGACAAAAAGATACGAAGGAACTTTATGAGAAGACATAGAATAAGGCTTGGTTGAGGAGGATCTTGACATGGAATTACCAAAGCTGCTTTAGGATTGCAAAATGTAAAAAATGTAAAGTGATTTTCACAGATAACTTTTAAAACACCTTGATGGGTAGATTCAAATATCTAGAACAGCAGTTCTTCAAGTATGGCTGGGGGACTACAAGGGATCCCTTGGAATCCTGCAGGAGGTCCTTGTGTTCAAAAAAAAAAACAACAAAAAAAAACTATTTCCATAGTAAAGCTAAAACATCATTTGCCTTTTTCACTCTCACACTCTTTTGAATGTATGGTGGAATTTTCCAGAAGCTACATGATATGTGATGATATCATCACTTTGTTGGCTAATGGAATGCATGCTTGCATATTCTGGTGTGTTCTACTTCTACGGTAGAGGTTTAGTGTTTAAAGAGGTGTGTTTTCAGAAATTAACTCAGTTTGTTCTCAGCTTCTACTGTGTTCTTAGTAGTGGTGTCTCGTTATTCTTGCTATAATGTCTGTAACCTCACTGTCGTTCAATAAATTCTCCTTTTGAATCTCAAAGTTTCCCTTGCAACCTACACAGAAACACAAGAGGAAGGGCGCCTGGGTGGCTCAGTCGTTAAGCATCTGCCTTCGGCTCAGGTCATGATCCCGGGGTCCTGGGATCCAGCCCCGCATCAGGCTCCCTGCTAGGCGGGAAGCCTGCTTCTCCCTCTCTCACTCCCCTTGTTTGTGTTCCCTCTCTTGCTGTTTCTCTGTCAAATAAACAAATAAAAAATCTTTTAAAAAATAAAGTAATACATGCATATTTATATCAATTTTCAAATTATTCCAAATATTTATTTTTTAGGATTTTATTTATTTATTTGACAGAGAGAGAGAGAGCACAAGCAGGGCAAGCGGCAGGCAGAGGGAGAGGGAGAAGCAGGCTCCCCGCAGAGCAGGGAGCCTGATGTGGGACTCGATACCAGGACCCTGGGATCATGACCCAAGCCAGAGGCAAATGCTTAACCGACTGAGCCACCTAGACACCCAGTACATCATTAGTATCTGATGTAGTGTTCAACGATTCATTATGAGAAGCACATGTATTAGCTGAGAGAGTTTTACAGTTGACATTGCTGAATGCCTACTGGATAAAAAGTCAGAAAATGAGATCACCACATTGTCACATTGCAATGATACAGTTAAGTCACCCAATTAAAGATTAAGCTGCAACAGGATACTGAACTGATCTCTCATCTGAAATATCACAGCTTGCCTGAGAAATGGATGAATCTAGAATGATGGACTTACTGTTTGCTTATATTTGTTAATCAGCACAATGAATCATCAAAGATCTCTTTTATGTGAATCTTTGGCAACAAAATACAAGAGATGCTGAAATATTCAAAGTATTGAATAGTTTCTTTGACTCTCAAGGTTAGCAACAACTGTGTTAACATTTGCCCTGATGTTACAAAAGCAGTGGTGGGTAACACTCCTGGTGCCTCAGCAAAAATCAAGGCAATAGATCTGAACTGTGCTGTCACTGTATCTTTCACCTTCAGGCATCAGCAGAAAAAAAAAAGTCAGTTTCACTTAAGAATGTCCTTGATAAAGCAGTAAAAATTACTAATTCTATCTTAACCTTGAGTAGACATCGTTATAATAGTCTGTGTGATGAAATGATAGAATGGGAAACACAGATAAAGTCCCACACAATGGATTTCTTGAGGAAAAGCATCTGGGCCACTGCGTGAGTTGTAAACTGAATTAGTCACCTGGTTCATGAAACTTCATTTTAACTGGAAAGAACTGCCAGACAAACTATGGTTATTCAGACTTGGCTATTTGTCAGACATTTTCTTGAAAATGAATGAAGTGAGCCTTGTCACTTCAAGGAAAATAAGTAAAAGTATTGTGGACAAGGATAAAACTCAAACTTACAGGTAAAAATTAGGATTTAGGAAAACTTGTATCCACTACCATGAGCTCGAGCACTTCCTAATACTTAAAAGACTTTTCAGATAACATCAGTGTGGTATTAACAAATGTGAATGTGATATTATATAATGGAATGTTTCAATGTTTGGAAACACTTGTAAATCTCAAGACACTAATATTTTTCAAATAACCAACACACTATATTATGATATCACATACAAATAAAAGATCCGTTAAGAATGAGTAAGTCATGGTAATAAAAGGTACAGCATAGAGAACATAGTGGTGTTGTAATAACATTGTATGGTGACAGGTGGGAGCTGCACTTGTGAGCATAGCATAAGGCACAGAGTTGTCAAATCGCTATGCTGTACACCTGAAACTAATGTAACACTGTCAACTATGTCTCAGTAAAAAAAAAATAATTTAAAAGATCCCTTAAAGGTGCAAAATATAAAACCAACAGATTTCAATTTAATAGAGTACAAACAGTTCATTAAAATGGCTTCAGATTCCACATTGCAACTAACCTTTAAGAAACCACCACTACTTAAGTTCTCCTGTAGTACCAAAGAATAGCCTCGATTATTTGAAAAGGCTATTAGAGTACTCCTCTCTTTTCCAACTACATATCTATGTAAGATCCTTTCTTCTTCATATGTTTCAATGAAAACAACATGTTGCAAATTGAATGCAGAGGCAGATGAGAATCCAGCTGTCTTCCATTAAGCAACACATTAAAGAGATTTGCAAACACGTAAAACAATGTCATTCTCTCTACATTTTCTGTTTTGTAAATATATCTATTCTTCATAAAATAACGCATATATTAACATGTCATGGATTTGGTACTGTGATTTGAAATGAGTAAATATTTAATCCTCAGTTTTAAAATCTACTCACATAAACAAAGGTACGTTGTGGTTCTCAATAATTTTTATGAATGTAGTCATTGTGAATCGAAAAAAATTTGAGAATCACTAACCTAGAAAATAGAACTCATTTATGTCTTTAGACCGATTAATGCTACAAATACTATTAATGATAAAACTTATCTTCCCCAATTTTTTTCTTTTCTGTTCAACTTCTCTCGTGAAAAGACAGCTATCCCCATCTTCTGCTCTTGCAATAACAATTTTATGACCCAGGTCAAAGTAAACCCTAAAGCCCCTGACAGTTGTCAGAGGTGAAGCAGGAATTACCAGCCACCTTTCGCTCTGGACATTCTTCGACAGGTTAAAGGCTGGTGGGTCTATGATTAGTGTCAGTCATTCTCCATGTCCTCTGGGAGTCCTGATAGGTAACATAAAAGCCTTCTTCTACAACAGGTATTTTACTTCAGAGGAAATAACAGGCTTTGAAAGCGGTTTTTTGAAAAGACCCCTCAGTAACACATATTTACATCCAGAGTGGATTACAAGATCAAAACTATTTTAAACAGCCCAACAAAATAAATTATTGTCTAAAAGTAGAAAAAAAATACCTAAGAACCTAAATATGTAAGCCAAGCAGTTTGAATTTAAATTTTTTTAAATTTCCAAATTTGTTGGGGCACCTGGGTGGCTCAGTCGTTAAGCGTCTGCCTTCGGCTCAGGTCATGATCCCAGGGTCCTGGGATTGAGCCTTGCATCAAGCTCCTTGCTCAGCGAGAGGACTGCTTCTCCCTCTCCCACTCCCCCTGCTTGTGTTCCCTCTCTCGCTGCGTCTCTCTCTGTCAAATAAATAAATAAAATCTTTAAAAAAAATTTCCAAATTTGTCTA